TTATCAAAATAAATAAAATCCTGATAAGAAATATTAAATATAAGTGACATTTTAAATTTAGGCCTTTTCGTGTTTTCTTTTAGATCAGGTGGCTGCATGTACACCATTTACCTGGGGAAGAGATGACCATAGGATGTATAATGGGAAGAAGACAGACCTGTAGAGGCAATGTTATATGAAAACACACAGAGTAAAGTTTTGTGCTTGAAGGGTACTGGTGAAATAAAAATTGCAGCCTAACAACCCAGTCCAGAGTCTCAGTTTTCTGGCTAAATAGGAGATACTTGTAATGTAGTGTATCTCTTGATCCAGTTAGATAGACCAACATATGAAATGAGAACAGAATACAAACACAATATAGTATAGTAAATCAGGATAGACTAGGCCAGCCAAATAGGTGAATAGAATTACACTCACATTTGATGGAACCTCTTAAAGGGACACTATAGTCACCTGAACAACTTTAGCTTAATGAAGCAGTTTTGGTAAATAGAACATGCCCCTGCAGCCTTACTGCTCAATCATCTGCCATTTAGGAGTTAAATCCCTTTGTTTATGAACCCTAGTCACACCTCCCTGCATGTGACTTGCACAGCCTTCCATAAACACTTCCTGTAAAGAGAGCCCTATTTAGGCTTTCTTTATTGCAAGTTCTGTTTAATTAAGATTTTCCTATCCCCTGCTATGTTAATAGCTTGCTAGACCCTGCAAGAGCCTCCTGTAAATTCAATTTAGAGATTAAGATACAATTATTTAAGGTAAATTACATCTGTTTGAAAGTGAAACCAGGTTTTTTTTTTCCATGCAGGCTCTGTCAATCATAGCCAGGGGAGGTGTGGCTAGGGCTGCATAAACAGAAACAAAGTGATTGAACTCCTAAATGGCAGTGAATTGAGCAGTGAAATTGCAGGGGAATGATCTATACACTAAAACTGCTTTATTTAGCTAAGGTAATTTTGGTGACTATAGTGTTCCTTTAATAGCTCCTTTAAACAATGTAAATTGGTATAATCCCCACTCTGGAATATCTTGGTAGCACAGTGTCTTCTCTGTGATATATATATAAGAAAACAAATATATAGACAAATATATAGGGAAGACAAATATATAGTGAACATTGTATGTAAAAGAAGTGCAATTAAATGCAAATCCACAAACAAGCTTGAGAACAAAAATGTGGTTGCGTTCATTCCACAGAGCTTCAGTGGTACATTCTCTACCATGCAAAATGGAGTCCAGAAGGCATTTAGAATAAAACAGGATGGTCCAGGGATATAGAGAATAATATCTATTTTTATTTAAATGCAATAAAATAAATAAAGTACAATAGTAACACTAACACATTTCACCACAACATGAGTCTTTTTCAGTGTTACAGCAGCCTGGACACTCACTCCTTACATAGCAGATGAAAATTTTGAAATTTCTAGATTACATGATCTCATGGTCAGGCGACCACTAAAAAAAATGAACATAAACAGATATAAAAGCTACAATAAAAAAATACAGATAGTGAGAGCACTCGAATAAAACAAAAACAGATACAATAATATTACCCAAACTGGATTACCATCTGAAAGTAAACACAGATAAGAGAAACACATAGGGTAATAACGTAATGATAAACACTTAAAGACTCTATTACTGGTCTCACTCACATAAAAAGAGCCACTTAGAAAGCTGGCTCAAACTTGCATGCCTTGAATCAAACTCTCATTGGGCTTTCACTGGGTCCTTTCTGTAGTCATATTCCATGCACCACCAGGAAACGCAGGTTCAAGGGGTAACAATACACTTTATTGTAAAAAGAAGGAATTAATAAAAAAGGATGAAGGCTTATTGCCGAAACGCGTCAGGTGCTCTGTGGACTTTTATCACTAAGGGACTTCCTTTTTTATGTATAGTTTTTTATTAATTCCTTCTTTTTACAATAAAGTATATTGTTACCCCTTGAACCTGCGTTTCCTGGTGGTGCATGGAATATGACTACAGAAAGGACCCAGTGAAAGCCCAATGAGAGTTTGATTCAAGGCATGCAAGTTTGAGCCAGCTTTCTAAGTGGCTCTTTTTATGTGAGTGAGACCAGTAATAGAGTCTTTAAGTGTTTATCATTACGTTATTACCCTATGTGTTTCTCTTATCTGTGTTTACTTTCAGATGGTAATCCAGTTTGGGTAATATTATTGTATCTGTTTTTGTTTTATTCGAGTGCTCTCACTATCTGTATTTTTTTATTGTCACTTGTGTTTATTTAGTGGTTTCTGTGGCTCCACTAAGGTGATTGTAGCACCACTTTCTTTTAGGATTTTTTCACCAGTGTATTTTATTGTTAGATATAAAAGCTACTTTACAGACAAATGATAAATAATATTAGATATGACCATAGGATGTCTGTGGGGTGCGTCTGTCCCCGCCGCCGCGCTCCAGACTGACAGTGTTTCTGGTGCTGTACGCTCCAGAGCAGCATCCTTATATGTGTGCCAGACCCGGTCATGTGACCCAACACACGGTGATGACCTCAGAGACCACAAGGGAAGGAAAAAACACCTTCCAAATGTTGTGGTTAACACTAATTGGAGGTTAGCCGCACCCTGTTGTGGTCTGTGTTTAGCCCAATAGCATGTTATACTCTGTCTGCTTATTTGGTTACCGAACTTTGGCTTGTCTTACGCTTACTCTGTCTCTCTGTTTCCCTTTGACCTTGGCTTGTACTTTGAGTATCACTTTTTTTGGAGCTGGCAGGAAGTTTAAAAGATCTCCCTGCACGGCCTTGTTCTCTTTCACTTTGTTAAGGAAGCTTTGTTGTCTCTACCTATATCTGGTACAGACCACTTTAAGAGTTGCCCCCGGAAAGCTTCACCATGACTCAAAGTGCCGCAGCCAGAACTCTGAGAAATTGACTGATTGCCAGAATGACAAGGGTGCTCTTACAATTGTCTGTACCTGATATTGGTACAGATGATGAAGCTCCCCCACTGGACCACCAGGGATCCAGCTCACCTTCCACTGGACCTCCAAGGAAGCAATGGGGGGACAAAACATATGTAGACAACTCTCATGCACCCTCAGACTTCCCTACACACACACATATAATCCATCCACCACACAACATTCAACCAGCACACAAAGATGACATGACACACTCAGCCCCACATACAGCTCTCAAAACACAATACTCAGCCACACTCTCACACACACAACACTCAGTCAACACATAAACACATCAGTAACAGAAAGAACGCACAGGGCTCAAGGAGAGGGTGCTAATTTTGGGTCCTGCTTAAGACTCTGTGCAACCTTAATCTGGGTCTGATTATTCCGAAACAAATTTGCCTTCAGAATACCCTTACTTTCAAATTCCAGGATATATCAAACAAAATATTCCAGAATGAATGTTAAGGAACATGTCTTAAATTTGTCCCATGCTATTTCCTCCACATACAAAAGATGCTCTGTTGAATAGAGATTTGGGGACTGTGCACATAACTATTTTGTTTCTGAAAATTATTTTAAAGAATGCATGCTTGTAAATGGATAACACATTGCCAATATTACTTTTTGTGTGTATACATTTTCTTTGTTACATTTGTACCTCCACATCTATTCGGCACAAACGCAAGCAAAGATCTTCTGCAGTTTGCATTTCATGAGCATGACTGTATGCTGTATTGAATACTCCTGAAGAGCAAACTGCATGAGGTTGTTCCTTGTTTCTCTCTGCTGCCTGCTGCTGCCAATACTTTCATTAATGTACCACGCAGCTACCTTTACTTTATACAAGTGCTTTGAGCCATAGGTAGGTCTAGGGTCCTGTGCTTCAGCCCAAAGTGCAATACAATGGTCCTTCAATCAAGGCTGCACAATACAATGGTCCTTCAATCAAGGCTGTATCAATGGTCAAACTACAAGTTTTAACCCATAGATGGTACCCATCACACCCAAATTGGTCTCTTGGTCTTCCTTCCCCCCACTCTCTTTGGCCCCTATCTCTTCTAACCTCTCTTTGTCTCTCTACTCTTTTCCTCTAATTAAGCTTGTGAATTCCTCTTCATATCCTTAGCTCCTTCTGTCTGCCTCCTCATATCCTCTGACCACCATCATGTCCCTTTCTCAATCACCTCTAACTCACTTTTGTTTCTGAATCAGTTTCTTCTACTTGTTGTACCAAGTGTACCAATATGTGTACTTTTTCATTTTATAAAAACATACAAGTCTTTTCCTTATTTTATTTTTTTTAATTAAAGCTCTGGTATTATATACCTTAATAGAGTACTATTATTAGAATGTATAAAGTGTCAATATATTCAGCAGTACTTACAGATAATACACTTACAGAAAAGGGATATTTGAGAGGTGAAGGTGGTCCTGCTCAAAAAAAATTCTATGAGGGTTTAATATATGCAAAGTTATATAATTAGATGTCTTGCCCGGGAACACTTACAGGGCTATTTTAAAGCCAGAGTTTAAAAGCCAGAGTAGACTCGAAGAAAGTTTCCAGTTTGGCTGTTTTGACATTAAATTTGAAATTCACTTTGAATCCACTTTCTCAGTTTAGTGAATACGGTACTTCTGTTACTGGTGAGGTGGTCTTACTGGGATTCACACCTGGGTTTCCCAATTCTAAGCCTATGCTTTGAGCATTGATTAAGCTGACTGCAAACTGGCACTGAATGATAGCATTTTTTCAGAAATGTCCTATTTAGAAGCTATTGGTCATAGCAGAATATTTATCTATTTATGTTTAATATATTAGAATTTCACTTTAATACAAATACAGCCTAGGTCTGATAATAACGATATCACCTTGTCAGCTTTATGGCGATATTCAGTATTTGGGTACATCGTGTTCTGTATCTAATATATTTACATAGCTAGGTTTCGGTTCGCAGTCAGCAGTGTCTTTAACACAGAACTTTGGATGAGAGCTGCCTGTCTAGAGGGTTAGGAGCTGTTCCTTTCTAGGGCTGATCAGTGGTAATGATGGTGGTGAGGGCGTGGAGGTTACAGCCCCTCTCTGTAAAGTGTGCCTCCTCTGTGTTTTTTTTTTTCCAATATGCACTGAGCTGCAGCTTTAATGCACAAGGGGGACCCGGAGAGCTCTGCAAGCAGTAAAGGTACAGGCAGAGATACAGTCACACACAGCCTGTACAGGAAGGATCCCAGCATCAGGAATGCACACATTGAGCTCCAGCCTCAGGATCACATTCAGCCTGAATACCAAGTCTAAGAAGATCAGCAATAATTGGCCCAGCTGCCCGGGATTACCTGCACTGTAAACCGAGAACACCCTGAAGCATCTCATAGAACGTTGGGGATCACACTGCGGACTGCACTAGTGTCTTCTCCAGCAAGGAACAGCTATTGATATTTTCCACTTTGAATTGGGATTATTCTTAGTGACAGACTTCGTTTTGCCTCCTCACCCCACCTACAGTAAACTGCTACCCTCCTTCTCCGTTTTTTTTACTATCTTCCTCCTTGCTTTCGACCCCCTGTGTCTTGTGTGTTTTTATTAATCTCACCAAACCTCTGCTAAAAAAAACAAAAAAAACACAACACCAATCCACCAACCCTTCCTTCTCTCTGACCCCATCCAACACCCCCTGTTAAGGTGAGTTGTGTCTTTTCATCACTTTTTTTTCCTCGTGTGCTTGTGTTTTTCTTCTGTGCCTTGTGTTCTTATTTAACCTGTGATGCTTGCAATCGCTCCTGCCTTTGATAGTGTATCTGGTTGAGGACCAGATAATGGGACCTGATAGCAGATCGCGAATGGGGAGTGATCGAGTAGCTCCAATTACTGCTGTAGTGGCTTATAGGACCGCTCAGTGACACATGCAATAATATAAATATAGGGGGTGTCTGCTTGGCGTAACTCTGCTAGCACCCTCACTGTATGATCTTACTCATGGCTGTTGATCAATTCTACAGTAACACAGGCTTCCTGCATAATAAATACATCAAAATAACAAGGTGTGGTTACATGATATATTGCTAGATTACTGAACTATACAGCATCTAGAGAATAAAACGTATGGATAGATAGATGGATGGCTGGATAGATAGATAGATAGATGTGTGTGTGTGAATCTATCCATCTATCTATCTCCATTCCTTTGCTATGGAAATGCCAGACTTAGACCATTCCCTTTGTAGATGTGATACAGTAGACAGCCAAGCTAAATTTATGGAGGTCAAGAGGTACTAAGTATAGTTGTAAAAATAGATAAATAACTAGTGCTGAGTGCTAGAGAGAAGATTAATCCGAGGAGCTACAGAGTTATTTGGGATCAATGGTAGCTATATGATAATACAGAAAATACAGTCTGATCCATCCCTCTCAAGTGTTTTAGTAAAGTTCAATTCATTAATGTCTTTGTCTGTAATCAATGCCTTGTAATATGTTTAATGTGGGTTTATTTGATAAAAGGGTTTATTGTTGTTAGTTAAAAAAAAAAAAAAGTAACATTTAGATTGGAAATAAAGTAGGATGAAAAATCAGCACTCATCTGTATTCGCGATTTGACAATTAAGGCCTAATCTGTGCAAATTAGGCATTCATTTCTCCACAAGTCACTATTTAATGAACAAACCCACTTGTACTGTAGATATCAGTTAGATAGGGGGAGCCCTTGAGCAGATTTGTAGATTTGTCTGTTTACTGGGTCTAATCTCAGCATGCCTTTGCAATATTGTTAAAAAATACTTGTCAGCAAGATACAATGCCAGCCAGCTAGCAAGCCAGTTTAAATAGAATTAGTGAGACTCTTGTTGAGAGATAACTGGTTGCCTTTTTTAAAGTGCCATTCCTTAATTTACATAAGAGTTCAACACGTTATAGATGCCCCTGTTATGTACATACATGTATGTTGCTAGAATAATCCCAAAGGATTTTTCTGATGACATTACTTTGCTCAGAAGAATGTAAACACAATTAGCAGCGCAGACAGCGATACTCATGGTTCTGCCTTTACATCAATCTAATTAGTACATAGCATAGCCATATTTCAAATATGTACAGGAATGTTATAAATACAAATATTCTGCCGTACATCTAGCTAGAAGCCCAACAAAGTGTATACTTGTAGTTGTGTTTTTTATTGATGTGGGCAAATATAGTCATTAAGTCTTCCATTGTCAGATAACCCGTGGCAAATGAAATAGTTGAAAATTGGGTGACATGACAAGGGATTTAAAAATTTCAGGGCCAAAATGGAAACGAATACTTATTATTTGTCCAATTTGGATTTTTTATTTTATTTTTTTATGTTTGCAATCCTGTTGTGTGTATTCAACATTTTACAGTATACTGAATACACCATTATGGTTTCGTGCTTACCTTAAAGAAAAACTGCCGTCTTTTCACTCGTAGAAAAATGTAAACAGTTATATATTGCACTGTGAGCAGACTGAATAAAATCTGTACAAAAAAATAATTACACAAAGATTGGGTCTATAGGTGTTCGCAAGTGGTATGTCGAGTACGCCCAGACACACCCCAGTGATGGCCAATTTGTCCTCATTGTCTCCTCTTCAGTTCCACATGGGCACATTTGTATGCGTTTGAGCTAGCTTAGTCATGACTGTGTTTATATGCACCTGGTTAGCACTAGAGCAAAAAATTTATTTGTCAACTAAAGTTTAGATTACATTTTTCTCTGCATGTCATGTGCTGCGCAATACCTATGATTATGCCTATATGTGCCCATAGAAGATACATTTGTAGAATGTCTATATATAAAAAAAAAACTGCCTAATTTATTTTTGTGCTTAAGATTAATCAATTCACTACTTGCAAAAAAAATGTCGGGATGTTACAATAAGGAACTTCAACATTAATGTGAAAAAAAATAACAATAATAAAAAGAATTACTACAACGGTATAGTGCCTTTGGGCAAAATGAAGATGTATTAGCTAACGTTTTGGTGTATATAGTTTTATAGTGCATAGACGACTTTTGCAATAGAATTATATTTTTAAAAACAAATATTGTATTTGACTTTTACGTATTTTTGGAAAGTTCTATATAAAATATTGTTCTATTTGAAACTCGTGGACACTATTTCATTTTGGAATAATTTTCATTATTTCTGTTTAGCAATTTATTTTGTAAGGTTAAAACTTTTTAGATACTATTGGAAATATACTTTAGATTATTATTAAATGTCTTCTAGATCTGCACAAAATCTTGTTTTATATGTTGTTGTATTATCTTATTCCATACTATTTATTTATTGTGAAGCTCAAATATGTAATCTAAAGTGTAGAGACATTTTTAACTAAGAAAGATTTATTAATGCCTTAAGTGCGAAATAAAGAAATTTTGAAAGAAAGCAGATTGTGCCCAGAATCCACACTTATCGTGATAAAGATGCTCCTGATGTGTTTTATAGTATCAATTAAGATACACAAAAGCTAATTATTTTTGAAAATGACTTGCTTAGATATGTAATTCATACATTATTTAAATGGACACTCATGTTATTAAAGTAGTTATGGTGCCTAGAATCTCCTGTGCTATCCCACTGTTCAGAATAAAACCATTTTCAATCAATTTGGCATTGAGGCAGGTTCCCTGGGTACCACTGACTCCTCCGAGTGTGACTTCACATTAGCCATATCAATCCATACCAAAGATGGGCAGCAGTGATAGGCTGAAAGACCTCTGGTGACACACTCATTGCCTGTTATTGCTGCCAATTGCTGCTTGGCCAATGTAGAAACATTAACCCTAGCAGCATAGAGGGCCAGCTTGTGGAAACGGGAGACACTCATTTAGTGTTAAACCATTCATAGATGGTTAAGCACTAAACAGTGAGATGGTATCAGAAGACACGAGGCTCCAACTCCACTTCAATTAAATAAAGTTGTTATGGTGCACAATGAATCCCTTTAATGCAGTTATCAAAAATAGAACTAAAAACATTGTCTCTTATGGCATTTAAGAATCTGAGGTGATGTGACTGCCACAATTAACCATTGTTTGTTAAACAACTGTATAGTGTACATGTACAATACAGAATGTTACTCATTAAATGTTGACTAGAATTTGTATACCATTTTCAAAATGTCAGTGCAGTAGTGTAATTAAATGATACAGGGTTCCATACTGGCAGCCAACCCATTGGGTTTCGAACCTTATATGAGGAGACACATTCCTGATTGTTACAGTTGATCCTAATTACTTGTCATCAATCACTACTAACAGTTCTAGAATTCTTACTCTGTTCTTGTTGGAATATTATTAAACCCCTTGATAGCACAAGCCTTTCTTACTTTGATCAATGTGAGATGCAGGTACTTGACACAGTTCCATCCCCCATTGCCTGAATTGTTCTGCCACTTTCTCTCTGATTCAATCAATGTTAAAAGCATCAAGGCAAGGTCTCTAATGAGAAATATAAAGAATACAGATGCACTTTCAAGGTAGATGCAACGGATGACAGGCATTCTACAAAACAAAAATGTTTTGCCATTAACTGGAAAGGAAGTTATGAGTGACCAATATATATAAAAGTGGCACTGTCAGCATCTGGGGACCCCTGAGGGTGACATCGCTGATTGGGGTTCGGAGGCCAGGAGGGCCAGCAAAGGTTAGTTCTGCTTACCTGAACCTTGGCAGGCACCATCATGTTTTTCTGGCTGTTCCCTTTCTACTGCTGGTTCCACAGTTGAAAGGAGCCAACGTTTCTGCGGTACTCTCAAACATGTATGAGACTACAGCATTGAGGAAAGGGTGAAGGAAGATATCATGTGAATACAGAGGAAGGTCCCTTTAGAAAGGTGAGTATTCTGGGAGAAATTTAGGTCACAAAAGGAGTGGAGCTTACTTAAGCTCCCAGTGTCTATGAAAGTCTGTCCCTACTTGTCTTGTGATTTGGAAAGAGGAAGAGAAGAGAAAAAGGTTGAAGACAGGTAAGTACACCATGACAGTGCAGCTTTAAGGAACAGCCAGAGTATATTTCTAAATTGTTTGAAAACCTTTAATTTGATATTGAAATCCTTATTCAATTAAACAGCACTTTCAATATTACCAATAATACCACTACTGCACAGTTCATGTTGATATGCTATTATTGTTATTTAGCGCATATTGAAATTGTATTTATAAATCTTGGCTAACAGTTAGGGGGCTGTTTTTCACCGCTAATGCTTCAAATAATGAAATTCATAACATTTAATCAACTCATTTAAATCAATCTACTAAGTACATAATTTGCAGTTACAAACTTCACTAGCTTAAAACTGGGAAAATGCATAACATTTACCATCATTCATAGTGAAATAAAACACTGCTCTCCTTTTAATCACACACAGTATATTTTATTTACGAAATTAAAAGTTGCAGCCACTGCCCATGCCGCATAGAAGCCCCTCCCCCCTTAATATTGTTTGAATTGTTGTAATATTGTTTTGAAAAAGTTTTGTCATATTTTTTAATGAAAATATTTGCTAATCAAAATCATTTGTAAAGGAACATAAAATCCAATTGCTACAGACAACCATCCAATGCAAGCAATTTTCAGTGTAAATATAGAGTTGTAAGTAAATAAAATAAGTAAAAGTAAGTAAAAAAAATGGAGAATAGTGGTATCAAAGGTGTTCAAAAGCTGACTGTATTTTAGGGTTCATTAGAGTGCAGTAGGTAAAAGCTGGCAATAAGCCAGCATTTCATCTGTTATCAGCTTTCTTAAGACTATGGCACACCGGGAGTGGAATGGAGCTATATATTTGTAAATACCAATCCGATGAAATAACATGTAAATCAAATTCAGTCATGGATAAAAATAAAAGAGGCGAAACACAAAGCCCAGATCTGAGATTAATAATCCCTTCACCATACAATACAGTTCTAATGGCGGCCAAACTAAAAATAAATACATTTCACCTGTAACTAGTGATGTCCCGAACGGTTCGCCGAACGGTTTGCCACGAACAGTTCGCCACGGACTCATCATTGAGTAAACTTTGACCCTGTACCTCACAGTCAGCAGACACATTCCAGCCAATCAGCAGCAGACCCTCCCTCCCAGGCCCTCCCACCTCCTGGACAGCTCACTAAGAATGCAGCTTCAAAATGGATGCTGTCCAGGAGGTGGGAGGGTCTGAGAGGGAGGGTCTGCTGCTGATTGGCTGGAATGTGTCTGCTGACTGAGGTACAGGGTCAAAGTTTACTCAATGACGAGTCCGTGGCGAACCGTTCGGGACATCACTACCTGTAACATTTATACAGCAATCAGCAATTAATCCAGTTGTTTCAGTTTAGACACATATAAACACGTGTCTAAGACACATGTTTGACTTATGTTAAGGTCACTTAAAATTGAGATTGCTAAAATTACCAAACTAGTAAAGGGACACAATAGGCACCCAGGCCACTTTACATTAATCAAGTGATTTAGTTGACATGTCCCTGTAGTTTTAACCCTGCATTGTAGCACATTGCCATTAGACAGCCACTAGAGGCAGTTCCTCCAAGTAGTAAAGAAAAATCCTCCTATTTCTACCATATGGTCTAATAGAGACTTATGAATGAATGACATGTTGGCCCTTTTTAAAACTGTTTATATAAAATTCCATTTTAACTATGTGCCGTTCTAATTTTTTTTTTAAATGTTTAAATACTACTCCAGCAGGTGTATTATAAAAGTACAACAACAATTAAAATAAAAATTACAGTGAATTTATCATCAAATTACACAGTGACACATTAAAGAAACACTGTAGGCACAAAGCAACTTCAGCTTAATGAAATGAGTTTGTTTCATTAGCAGTCACACTGCTCAATTTTATGCCATGTAGGAGTTAAATAACTTTGTTTATGAAGCCTTAGCCACAGCAACCTGCATGTTACTTGCACAGCTTTTGTAAACACTTCCTGTAAAGAGACATCTAACGTTGAAACTTCCTTTATTGCACAATCTGTTTAATTTAGAATTTCATATCTCCTGCTCTGTTGATAGCCTTCTAGTACCTGCAGGAGCATCCAGTGTGTGATTAAAGTGCAATTTACAGAGCAGGAGATAACTTCTAAAGCAACATCTAGTTAACATCTAATTGAAAATGAAACCATTTTTTTCATGGAGGCTGTGTGAGTCACAGCCAGGGAAGTGTGGCTAGGGCTGCATAAACAAAAACAAAAGTGATTTAACTCCTAATGACAGAGAATTGAGCAGTGAGACAGCAGGGGCATGATCTATACACCAAACATGCTTCACTAAGTGGTTTTGAAATGTATAGTATCCCTTTAAAAAAATTGTGATTCCCCCCTCCCCCCCCCCAATCGGCTATATTGCGACTTGTTTAATGAATAAGCCCCAGTGCTAACATCAATTACAATGTATCAGTTTGAAGCCTGAATAAACTTGATGCATGTGTTTTAACTACAGAACATTTGTTATTGTACACATTTTGACTCTCGCTATTTCAATGCATTATCTAATTGGATATATGCTCTTTATAATGCAAATTCATTTAACTAATGAGTAAGTTGTTCATTTTTTCTCATTATACTTTGTGATCATAAATCAAACTAAAGGTCATGGCAAACTAAAGTTGCTATATTGTCTTTTCTAGATAGGCTATGTGTTGTGTTCACCCTGTTATCTTATGGACAGTTCAGATACAAATTTAGGGGATACTTAGTTGTAGTTTAATTATGTAAAATACATTGGTGTTAACATGCATAAATTGTGTTTGGGTGAAGTCAGTGTTCTTGCTGCTTTGTAATACTTGACAGAACTTGTGATAACTGGCATTCACGTTGAGGATTATTAGCTAATATACCCAAGAGAACAGCTATATCTTGCTGTGCATGATGTGGTAGAAGAATTTATTCTTACTTTAACTTCCTATTAAAATGTCATCAACACTTGCTGTAGCTGAATAAGCCACTGAAACAGTGAGCTGCTAGCATGGATAGTATATACAGTGTGGGGTAAAGGGCAACATTTTA